CCTACTTTTCTTCTACGTGACTCCGCTCTTGTGTAGCAGTGTGTGGTATCTACGCGGCGCTACGTATTATTCGTCGCGCCCGTGTGCTGGACATGCATGTGCCTTCGTGTATGACTGCTCTTCGAGGGTCGTGCGAGAGTTATGTATTTTATTTGACGCTGCGGCAGATAACTGTCCGCCAGCCGCAGTTGGCGCGCGACAACGCCGTGGAGAAGTACGAGCCGAGGGCGGAGCTTCTCGTGAGGTGGGCCGTTGGTTCGGCACAGACGGGGCGGGCGTTGTTCCCGGCAGACGTGACGGAGTCTCCTCTGGAGGGCGCGGGAGGGCAGGGGCGTGGCCGAACGCTCCTGACGCTGGGGCCGTCCCACGAAATAGTTCTCCAGGAGAGGCTGCGCCGGAAGCCCGCTCGCGGGCGGGGGCGGGAGGAGGCGCGGTATGAGGCGCGGCAGCTGCACATGAAGCTGCGGTTGCTTCTCCGCAGGAGGCGGCAGCCTGGCGGGAAAGGCGCCGCGGCGTGTGCGTTGGATGTGGGGAGCTGTACAGCAAGCCTGGCGGAGCTGCTCCCCGGCGGCGGCGTGCGGCGGCGCGTCCACCTGCCGCTGCGGCGTGCGGGGGATTTCATGGAGGTGGACTGCCTGGTGCAGCCGAAGGCCGCAGCATCGCCGGCAGAGGCGTCCGTGCCGTCGGAGGCGACCACCGGCGCTGCCACGGCCTCCTCCTTTTCTTCCTCCGCTGCGTTCGCGGAACGCACCGTGGCGTGGGAAACTGAGAGGCCGGGGGGGAAAGAGGGGAGGGCGGGGACGGACCTCACTATGGCCGCCGTGCCAGCCGCGGAGCTGACAGCCCTTTATGAATTTTGTGAGACCACTGCGGAAGCCGTGGCGGCGTTCCACAATCATGGCGGTGGGGCGGCAACGAAGCCGCGTTTTTCGCCACTGCGGCAGGTGATGGACGGCGGTGTCTCCTGCGAGCAGCAGTTTGCGGAGGGCGACCCGTTGAGACTGTTCGTCCTGCTCTTTCCCACGCACCCCGGTGCGACCGCCCTCATGCCTGCCCTGCACCGCAACCGCGGCGATGCGGACTACCCGGCGGTGCCGACGTGGGCGGAGGTTCCTGCGACGCACCCGCATGCCGCCTACTACGCCGCTGACTACAGCCTGCGGTTTCAAAAGAGCCGCTTTACGCCCGCGCAGGAGTACGGCGTCGTCGTGGGTGCGGGGGGGCGGGTTGTGGTGCGCATTATGTCTGTGGCGGCAGCGGCGCCGCTTGTGGGGAAAAATGCTCGCTTAGAGACTCTACTGGAGATCCGGGGCGGTGGCGGCGTGCGTGTGTGGATTTATCCGTGCGTGCCGGAGAAGCTGCGGTTCCTGCTGCGGTCGCAGATCGCCGCAAGAGTGGAGAAGCTCAGAGGAACTGTGCAGAGGACTTTGCGTGCGTTGGTTGAGGCCGGCAGTCCGCCTGCCGCCTGCCGCCGAACATCATCGTCGTTGGCGTTAGTGCCAGCTTCCTCGCCGTCGTTGGCCGCGGACGCCGCCGCCTCACTGTCGTTCTTCTCCTCCTCACTGGACCCAACTCTCTGGCGCAGGCTTGGCGCGGCGGATTTCGTCGCCAGCAGCGCGCGAGTGGAGGCGCTTCTGCTGCGCCTCCAGCACGTTGTCCTCCCGCCACCGCGTGGGTGCAGGTCGGCGGTGCAGGTGCTGGAGGAGGTGGTGTGCCTGCACCGACGCAGCCCCCCGGTGGTGCGACTCGTGCTTGCGACGCTGCTTCGCATTGCGCCGCAGGAGGTGGGTTTCGCGGCTCTGGTGAATGCCTCCTCCACGCTCGCCGCCACGCTTCAGCGCGTCTTGGCGCTCCACACCGCGGACCTTTTCCAGGCTGCTTCGGCGACCCCGCTCCCAGGCGACGGCGATGCGCCCTCCGCGGCACGAGTGAAGGCGTTCCTGCAGGCCCTTGAGGCGGCGACGACCGCCTGGCAGGAGCAGCGACGACGGGAGAGGGCCGCGGTGAGGGACGTCTGGCACCTCCTTGGCGTGGGCCTTCACGACCGCCAGGCCACGGTGGAGGCGGTGCAGCGGCTGCAGCCCGTACACCGGTCCTTTTCGGAGCAGCAATGCCACCTGCTGCACGCGGCGTTGGTGCTGCACATGGATTCCGCCCCCATCGCGTGTGGACTGCTGCGCTTGTTGGCGCACAACTACCGCCAGAACGCCTCTTTCCCCGACGATGTGCGCCGCTTTGACGCGAGCTTCTTGGAGGCCGTATGCCGCGCCTTGGCGTTTCATCGTGCGGCGCTGCTGACTGACGCCGGTGACCGCTTCGCCACTCTCTGCGACGGCCTCACGGAGACGCTGCGGGAGCGCCTGGGAGCGATGTCGTTCTTTGCGCGGCACTTTGAGCCGCTGCTGGGGGAGGGGCCGCTTTTCACCTGCACGGTCCGCCTGCTGCGGACAACGGTGTTTGCCACGGACGCGGCGGCGGTGACGCTCGTCGTCACCGCCTCGTTCCTGTGCCTTGGCAGCAACGCCATCCCTCTCGCGGCGGTGTGTGGGCTGCGCCTGTACCGCCGCTGGTGGTGCGTGCCGTCGCTTTCTCTCTACGTGCGAGAGCCAACCCCGCCTGCGCGACATTCCCGGGACGACAGCTGCCCCCGAGAAATTGCGCTGTGCGCGTGGCGGCGAAGGGAGCTGGTGGCAGCGTTGCTGCAGGCGAACAGCACTATAACGGTGACCAAGTGACGTCCGTGCTGTCCCTTTTTTTGCTTTTTCTTTTGTTGTTGCTTATGGTTTCTTTCTTCCACCTTCCCCACACCTCCTCCTCCCCATTTGGTGGGATGTCGCATACGTGCCACTGTAACCGTCCTCCCCTACGTTATATATATATACACACACACACGCATGCATTAATAACCCTGACATTCCGCGTGAAGTGCCCTACGACGTGACGAACGCACACGCACGGCTTTTTTCCTTTTAACGGGTGGGGGTGTGTGTGGGGGTCTCTCACCACGCACGCACGCACGCACGCACGCACGCACGCACGCACGCACGCACGCACGCACGCACGCAGCGAGCCACCTCCCGCCTTCGCTTCACCTCTCTTTCTGCTAGCGCCGCACACCGCGAGGCGGGAGCCCACGAAAGCAGGGGGACGACGAGGCCCCAGGTAGACGCAGTAAAACGGCAGCAGGGAAAAAAGACCACAAGCGAGTGGGAGGCGGCCACAGGGAGAATAAAAAAAAAGCTAGTGGGAGTAAAGTACTGGGAAGAGCGTTGGTTAAGCTTGCCCTTCCAGATGACAAAGTCAAAGGCGAATGTGCAAACCAAGCCGGGGGCACCGGCGCGTGGGGTGTTGCCGTCAACGGAGCTCGAGCGCGTGTTTGCCGTCCTCCGCTTCGTTGCGCGGCAGCAGGAGGCGTCCGCGCCATCGGCGGTGATAGCTCTTGGCGACAACGAGAGCAACGAGGTCAACACCAGCAC